TATAGGCTGATAATGCATTAACATATTTGATTTTGATCTTTCTCTAGACAGTGGTAGAACTGATGCACTGAGGGAAATTATACCTGTCCTGGTAACAATAAACTGTGGTGTGTTGCCTTGCACAAGTGGATAGACTCCTGTTTAAAGGAGAAGGTAGCTTCAGGACTCAAAGGACTACTAGAACAACTATTGCTGTTTTGTCTTGTTTTCTAATAGAATGGAGAAGCATGCACAAACAAGAGTGCTGTCTGACTGCTTCTGGAGGAGGCATTTGTGTGCTGTGTCTGTGGTAGATTGCAGGTGTCTGATTCAGTCTGTTCTTCTGAAGCATGCTAGAAAGGGCTTGTTTAGTCTGTCTGTCAAATTCTTTGAAAACAGATTGTCTTTCTGTCTTTGCTGATTGAGCAAAAAGCAGGGAAACCTCTCTTTATTGTTAGTGCTTTGGCAGTCTGTCCTGTTCTAGGCTTCTGCCTCAGTCTAGAATATTACAAGATCTGTCACTGTGACAGGCTTTTTGTTACTTACCTAGTGTTTTCACTGTTTCTTTTCTTGTGGCTTCTTATTTTGCAGTAGGCAAAGAGCTCCCTGCATTTATTTAAGCTATGAGTTTGTGTGGTGCAGTCAAGCTGCCTGTCCAATAGAGCAGAGTGTAAACAGTTTGTCAGACCAATCAAAACCTCTGGTAGTATAGGAAAGCTGACTATGTGAGGCTGGTAGTCATTAACTAACTTCAGAAATCTAGATTCTGCAGGGTCTGGTAAACCTAGTGTGTCAGTGAAGGTGCTAAATGGAAGATGTTAAATTTGGACATCAACCTCTTGTTTTCCTATTGTATTTAACAGCAATACATTGTGTAGAGCAGCATAGACTTTTGAAGCTGTTTCTAAAATCTTTCCTTGGCACCTCTTAAAAGCAGTGTGTTTAAATAGGGCATTGCTGCATCTGGGTCTAGTTGTTGTAATAACATTAAAAAAAGGCAAACCAACTTCAGATTGTGATTTCAGTGTGAAAAAGGATTGGTTAAGGCATCCCTTAATAACTGTGTTCTACAAGAGACTCAGTAAGTAGCAATATTGTTTGCCTAAAGGTCTAAGGCTCTCTGGGTAGTAGAGAGCTGTGAAATAACTGTGCTAACAAATTTTGTTTTCCGCCTTCTTTGAAAGATGTAAGTAGTTTTATTTTGTAGTTCAAGAGCGATGGTAAGCTGAGAATTAATTAGTGATGTTTTACAGTTGTCTGTTAACTTCTTTATATTGTGATGTTGTGTTTCTTAAAGAAAATCTGACTCCTGTTCAAGTTGAGGTTGGAGAGGCTCAGGTATCTTGAGCTCAAGAGATGATAGTACAATCACCAATGTGATTCTATCTGGGACCTCCATGCAATGACAGATTCAGTTTCTCAGGGTTGGTAGCCAAAATAAGTCTCAGTTATTTCTGAAGAAATACTTGGGTAAATAGGTGTACACATTTTTTTTTCCTTCCATGTTGCCCCTTGAAATCTTTAGGGGTAAAGGTGAAAACCTTATGAGGAACAAGTAAATGCTTACTGGTTATGCTTGCAGCAAAGCTTGCCTTGTTTGTGGCATACAGTTCCAAATCCTAAGCCACACTTCAAACCTAAAAAGCCAGGAAGCAAGGAAACATGGGTATTCTGTTATTTAACTGCTTTGTTTAAGGAATTTTAATGCTTCTTAGTAGCCTGAATGAGTGCTGACTGGACTGTTGAAAACCGCTTGCACATTAAATGCGTTCCACAGAGAGAATCATTCTCTTCCTCGTACCAAGTTAGTATTGAATAAGGGAGGAAAGTGACGTAATATTAATTCGTAGTTTATAGTAGCATATGAGAGCTTGCAAAATTGGTTCTTTCCTGTTTTTATTAGAGATGAGTACTGAAGCAGAACAGCAGCTTCTCCATGATGCTAGAAATGGAAATGCTGAAGAAGTTAAGCAGCTGCTGGATACCATGGAAAAAGGAGAAATAAGCTTTGATATCAACTGTAAAGGTTAGTAGCCTTCCTCAAATGTTTGTAATTTCACTGTTGATGGCATGTGTAGTGACACAGGTAGTGAAAGTGTAATCTTGCTTTCTTTGAAGTGCTTAGAGTAATAAAACCCCCCACTTAAACAGCTGCTTTTACCCTGTGACTTAAGGCCATATACTTGCATAGGGGAGGGATAGTAAAAGCAGAGTATGGGTACTTGTACAGAAAACCTCAGAGTAATTCACAGGCACTAGAAGTGTGGCCAAACCAAAGAATCAGTACTTCTTTTTCCTGTGTTCATGCTTATGCCAACTTTGGAGCTTCATAATACTAAACAAAACAGACTCTGGTGCCAGAGGTGGTTCAGGGAGCTAAAGAGCCTTCATCAGGGCTGCAGAATTTAGATGAGATGACTCATTTGTGCTCTGTTAGGTGTGATTTGTTTATTTTTTTTTTCCAGACCCATGTTTCATAATCACACAGTAGGAGCAGTTATATTTCTTGCCACTTGCAGGAATGTTTGGGACAAATACATGCTTTTTATTATTAGCAGTATACTAGGTTACTTGGGAAAAGAAGCTAAAACTGGTCTTCATCTGTGTCTGGGTCTTCCACTAACACTAAAGTTTTGATCATGTGTAGCTAACGTAGTTATGGCTAAGCTACTTGCTTGCTGAGCATTAAAACTTCAAACTGGGACTGGACTTGCAGGCTTTCTTGCAATTGCAGACTGCCTTATTTATTCACTTAGTAGCTTTATATTTCCCTGTATTTACATTACTGTGTTTCTTGTGGTTGCTTCAAAAAGGTGGATGTGTATCCCACTCTTTTCTACACAGGCTGGTAATCCATTGTTGAGCATTTAACTGGTAAGCAGCACTGAGAAGATCGTGCTACAGAGGGAGAGGGGAGAGAGCAGCTGTGCTTCCTCTCTGCCATGACAGAGGGAACACCTTGCCCTAAAGAGCAGGGATGCCTGTTGTCTGAACAAGCTCTATTGCTTTCCCAAGCCTGATTCTTAATCATCAGTTTACTCATCCTTTTGTTTGACTGCTCAGCCATGTTTGTGTTTTCCCAATGGTTAATGTACTCACCTTAGAAAAACAAGCTGTAAAATCCAAACTCTTGCTACTTCATCTTTGGGGAGGTAGTTCATAATTTAAAGGGGAACTGGAGACACCTCGATGAAGCTGAAGTCCTCCACCCTCACAAGTATGTCCTTTGCAAATATTCAAGACATTGTATGTAGTGCCTAAACAGCTTGAAATCAAAGTACCTTAAGATTCCTGCAACAGTACCCATAAATAAGTTCCTGAGGTCTCTTCCGCTTAGAAGAGATTTCAGAACATCTCTGATGTGTTCTTAAATGCTATCCAAATTTAAGAAAATACAATGAAATAACATAATCTGCAGTCTGTATCATATCAAGCAAGTTGGTCTCTGGTCATAAAGCCTGCAGCACACAAGAGACTTAGGTAATAAAGGGCAAGATGGTGCATAGCTGTTGTTTTTCCAGTTAAGCAATACATGGCCAGCCAGTTAATACTTGCTTGCTAATGGGAAGCTAGATGGAATGTATTCATGATAGTTTAAGTTAAAAAAAATAATTTCTGAATGTGGAATCTGTCCACAGTCTGTTCCTTAAGTTCCAGCTCTTCTAAGCATTAGAGGACACGGAAGTGTAACTGAAGTGTTCTCTGGGGGAACTGTTCTAGGTGTGTGAAACTTCAGAGTTAAATCTATGTTCTTCCGCAGTCACTTTTCAGAGACTGACTTTGTTACTCTTCTCACATAGAGTACTCCATTGGAAATAGTCTAAGACAAATTTAGGCCAAACAGCCTCTGCAGCATAACTGCCTCTACCATTCTGCCTCCTCACTAGCAAAATGACTGTGTCTTACCCAACAGATCAGCTCTTGTAGTGCTACCAGATAGTAATTTCATAACCACATGATGATTAGCTAAAATACAGGCTGTAGACTGTAACTGTCTTTTTGCAACCCTCAATCTTCCTTCTCTTCCCAGCAGCCTCTTGTGCTTCTGTCATTACCTTCTTGGATAATCAGATGTCCCTAGAAAGTCAGGGTATGGGGAATGTCTTCAGTGCTGCAGCAGTTCCTTCAGGACTTGCATCTGATGTGGCAGTGACACTTGGCTTGGAATAAAGTGCTTCTGGAGCAGGTGGGAGGCTGTACTGGAGGTAAACTTCCTCCACGGTGTTCCTTGGGAGACATAAGACTGACAAGTTAATGTGCCTGGGTGTCAAAGCCTAACTTTGACATCCTGTACATGTCTTTTCAGGGGCTTACCTATATCTGTGGCTGTGTGTGCTGTAGATTTGTGTGTGTAAAGACTGCCAGCAGTGATCCTAAACATCTCAATTTCAGCCAAAGTGAAGGAAGAGGAAATAAATTCAGTCTTCTTGTTCTTGCTCTGTTGTGACTGTGTTCTACCCAGTCAGTGCTTGCAGATAAGCAGAACTTGTTTGAGAATCCAGGCAAATGATGTGAACTTCTGGTTTTGGTTTTCCCAGTTCACAGGTTTGGAAAGAAGGTATCTACATTAAAACAGTGCTAAACCTAGGTTTCATACAAAATTATCATGTCTTCTGAGGCTGTCTATTGTTGGCTCATTCTCCTTAAGTATAAGAAAATAGAATATCTAGGAACTTGCAAAGTAAGAAATCTATGAAATAAGGTCAATGGTCAATAGTGTGTTATGGAAAAATGCACATTTGAGTCATTGCACTGTGACCTAGCAGACCACATCTGGGAAATGCCTGCCTAGTTTGTCTCCGTTCTCTAACAAATGAGACTTAGAGTTAACTAGCATTAAAGCAAAATGCTGGGTGGGAGGGGTAGAGGAATTATATTTTGTTGGGGTTATATTATTTCTACTTTTTCTATCCTTGCATTTTGCCGAGTATAATGGTGTCCTGGTTTAAAATAATAATAAATAATGGCAGATACTTGTGGTCACTTGAAAAGAAGTAACAAACACCTCAAGAGCTTGAGAAATAACTGGTCGGCTAACATCAGAAATACAAACATTCAGCCTGGATGCAGAACAAGGGCCTATGGCACTTTACTCAGTAAGAACTACAAATCTGGACAGGTTCCTGATTATGTTTCTCATGACTGAATTCTTTGGCATCAGCACTGTCTTGTCAGTGCTGTAATTAATGACTATCTTGGGCTAATTGTACTAATTCAGTCCAACTCAGACTTCTTCTGTGTTCTTTCAAAGAATCTTCTTCCCTACTAGACTGAGGGATGAATGATGTCCATTTAGTATGTTATCAAGTAGAAGCAGCCCCAGAGTTAATGATCCACACAGTATTTGTCTTCTGTGGTACTTTAGCCCATCAGTCACACAGGGTAGGAGCTCTGTTGCAGGCCAGAGTATGATAAAGGAAAGATCTAAATCTGGGACTGGAAACAACAGGAGTTGAGAAGAAACAATCAAATAATAAAAGAAATTGTATAAAAAGGGCAGAAATGTTAACTGGAAACAACTGTAAGAAATGGGAAAATATTTCAGCTGTGAACCCCATTCTAATGTTAATTTTTAATATGAGAGAAGAAGGAATGATGGAAGTGCAAGACCAGCAGTTTGTTTTGCCTCGTGCTAGTGGTTGGTTTCCTCAGGGCAAACTTAAGTTGTGCATGTTCCAAGCCTCAATACTTGAGGATACACGAAAGGGGAAAACTTAATGATGACAGTAATTTCAAAACAATTTCTAATTCCTTATTTTCATTTTGCTTCCAAATACAAAATGATAGCTTTTAGGTGGCACTCAGAATGCCATGGGTCTGTTGCTTAGTAAAAACAAAGCACAAATCAGCTTTGCTTAATACAGTTGAATGTTACAGTTGGAGTTGTAACAGCTGGAGTAAACATGAGTTGTTTAACCTTTTAACCTTTAGTAATCTCTAATGCTTTAATGTCTTGCTTTTAAAGAAGTGATTGTAGGACAGTTGTTGATTTTTATTCATACAGCCAGTCCTCAAGGACATGTTTTTAATGCTCTTTAAAGCACGAATCATGTTTTCCTTTGCATGGTCACTTCTGTGCCTACTCCCTGTTTGTGCTTTATCATTCTGCAGCTTAGTGCTGTAGATGATACATGAGTTCTACCGTGCACAAAGATTTCCAATCATGTTATTTAGTAAGGGTGTCTCTTTTAAAATTGGGTGCAAGCACAAGGCAACAAAACCCCTCAACATTAATTCATTTGACCTATTTTGTTTTGAATCCTTTGTTTGAAAGATGGGTTGTCCTACCTTTCATTTGTGTGAAGGAAATAAAATTGGCAAAGAGGTTTTTGATAAGCAAGAGAAATATGTACTTGTATATGGTATTTTCATAGTGAATGAAAGTAACTGAAGCTTCCTGCTGGTGCTGAAGGACAAGGTGTTACATGCAAACAGAAGTTTTATTCTCAGTCAGGCTACATGACTTTCTCCTTTCAGAAAAGTTTTGTGCATTTGAATATAGCATTCTCAAACTGTATCCTGATTTAGTAATGCAAATAACATGAATAGTATTGATGCTTCCAGCCTCCTTACTCCTCTGTTACTGTGAAGAATGGTCATCCATGCCAGCCTCCAAGTACATGACAAGATCTCTTTTTGTATTGTGTGACCAAAACTTAATTTACCTGTTTTGTTTTTTAGGCAGAAGTAAATCTAATATGGGTTGGACACCTCTTCACCTTGCTTGCTACTTCGGACATGCTGTTGTCGTAGAGGATTTGCTGAAGGTATATTTCTACTTACCTCTGTGTCTAAGGTAGAAAATTCTTAGTTATGCTAGAAGTGGTTAGTATATATTCAGGTTTTCATGATAGAAGAAAGGAGGCTTTATAAAGAGGCAGAGTCACTCCTACAGTTTATCTACCTGTAACACAGAGACAGCTGTTAAAACTAAGGAATTAAATAGTTGTGGTATTAAGATTGGCCCAGTTTACAAGGACCCAAAATAGTGACACTGAAAGTCTATACAGTAGCACATAGCAGTTACTCTGAACAGTGTTTAGAATTATCAGTACTTATCTAGCTTTCTCTCGGAGTGTGTATGTGTGTAACCATCTGCATGTAGGAATTAGAGGCATGTAATATATAGGTGAGCCCTCATGAAATCTCAGCTTTTTTCAAGCTTAGTGGGCATCTGTATATAGTAAGCCAACATCTGATACTACTAATGCAATTGTGTCAAAGGTCTGATCTAGCTTACTGTAGTACATAAAGTAGATAAATCTAGGTAATTTCACTTACTGAGTTGTAGCAAAGGCTGAAGTGTTTCAAATGCAGAAAATCTGTATTATCTAATTGTATGTTGTGCATAGAAATATGCATGGAATTCTGTGCGAAGTAACTTGGATGTGTTTCTTTCAGGCACAGGCTAACATAGTTTGACTCATTATTTCACTCTAACATCTGTGAAAGAATGAAATGTGTGATGAACTTTGAAATGATGTGCCTCTGTTATCAAAGCTGACCTATTTGTATTTGCATAACAACTGCAAATGCAGTGAATATGTGGCTTCTGACTGAATTTGTGTATTTTTTTACTCTCAGGGTAGCTTCAACCAATCCTTGCTGCATTAGACCCTATTAATATTTGAAGGATTTTGCTGTAGATGACAGGAGCATAATAAGCAGCCTCAAGTACAAAGGTAGCTGATTTAAACTTGAATTTCATACAGAAAAAAGGCTGCCAGCCATAATCTGGACTCTAAAGGAGGAAACAAATTTGAGATTTCCTGAAGAAATTATTTTTTAGCCTACATACTTGCTCAATAAATAATGCTGTTTTCAATTCAAGAGGGCTACTTAAAGCAAAAGGTACAGTTTTATCAATTAATGCATTTATCAACACTTCAGGAGTTGGAAGACTATCTGTAACTTTGCACTCTCTTTCTTGATAGGGTTCTTGAGAGGGTATTACTTAAAGAATAAGATGGGAAATAAGGGAGGCTGTGCACCTCTGAAAGCTAGGATGTGTAGATGTGTCTGTGGTCTTGTGCCTAGATTTTGTGCTCAAAGAGCAAGTATCAGGAACAGCTCTGGAAGTAGTCAGGTTCATCAGTTAACTTTAGGCAGGCAGCAGTGACCTGGCTAAATCACGTGATCTAAACATATGTGCTGAAGTTAAATATGTCCTGCCCTTTTTCTGACCCTTTGAGAGGTTAGGTAAAGTGGTGTAGAAGAAATACTTAATGAAAGGAGGATAGGATTTCTTCGTTTCCTGGAACAGTGTCTGTGCAGTGTGGTAAGCAGTTTTCCTTTAAGATAAAGGTGTGGTACTGAGAAAATGTGTCACAAAAAGAGGGGAGATTCAAGACAAAGACTGTAGAAGAGAAAAGGGAGAAGAAAGGTTACGTGTTAGGTGGTACCGTCTTGATGCTCACATGGAAGTTTTCACTTCCAGTGAAAGAGCAGCAATAGTTGCCTAGCGAGAACACTACTTAAATCAGGAACACAAGGAGTCTGGTGCTATTGTCTACATATTATATATATGTATGCATGTTATACAGTAGCACTATAGTTCTTTCATTAAGTTGTTTGTTGGCTTTTTTCCCCTAACACTTCCCCCAAAAAAACCCCAAACAAATAAACATACCAAAAACTTACAAAACCCCAAACAGAAACCAAGCCAAACCACCCCCACCCACTCTGTTAAACTTATTTTTCATATACTTTCTTCTTAAAAGTGAGAGAGATGCATGGAAAAAATGCGTGCGGCTTTTCCTTTTTGAAGCAATTTACAGAACGTTGGTTCTGAATCTTACATCTGTACTTTATCGTTTCCAGGATGCTGTATTATAGTTCTGATCTGATTTCCTGTCCTGTCTTCTCCTTTCCCCCAGTCAGAGGGAATAGCTATGTAATTCTTGTTGGAAGGACATTGATGTGTCTTTTGGTCTTGCTGTTTAGGCTGGTGCAGATGTGAATGTGCTGAATGACATGGGGGACACTCCACTCCATCGTGCAGCTTTCACAGGACGTAAGGTAAAGTATGTTGGCTTCTTTAAGCCTCAGTTGTAGAATTACTAAGGAAGTACTAGCAATAGGATCACTTCAAAGAGTTGTTTTTACAGTGTCTAAAAATGACTTATTGTCTGTTTTGGTACAGTGTGTTCAGAAGGACTAGGCATATTGCCTAGCTGGTGTAATTCTGTCAAAAACCACAGAAGGAAACCACATTGTTTTAATCTTACTGGTTTCTGGAGGGGGGGAAAAGCAGTAAGTTTGGACACACATGCCCATTTAGTGTCTGGAAGTGCTGTTTCTTCATAGATAACTAGAACTAAAGAGTTTTTTATAGGCCTGTGTAATGTGAGAGTAAGTTTGATTGTTCTCTACATGCCACCATCGTTTCAAAACCAGTACTGCCTCTATGGATAAACCTCTTGGCCCTTCTGAAGGAGTGACTCCTTACTGTTTTATCAAAAGAACTAATTGTACTATTTTTATCTGTCAAATTCAGAGGTACACCAGCTTTTCAGAGTTGATCTGTTCAGCTATAACTAATCTCCTGTTAGTTCATTCAGCCTGCCTGAGATGAGAGAGAAGGCTGCAGTCAGTCTCACTCTTCAGTCTCTCTGAAACATCTCTTCCTGTTTTCATAGGAAACAAGCAGGGGTGAGAAGCTGTTAAGTTACGGAGCTCATCTTACAGCATGTCCATAGCTGGAAAGCCTAATTGTGGCCTTGAAGTTACAGGGACAGATAAGCAGTGTTTTTCAAATTGTTTTCCAGGAGGTGGTGATGTTACTCCTGCAGCATAATGCTGATACTTCTATTGTTAATGGGAGTGGAGAGACTGCAAAAGAAGTTACGTATGATAAAGACATAAGGAATATGCTGGAAGGTAACTTTAATAGGTCATAGCCTGCTTTGTTTGGTCTTTTTCAACATGTGTGCAATCTAAAAGCTGATATTTCTACTGCAAGTTACAGAAGCTCAGTTGAATTTTCTCTTTAAATTTGGTCATTAGAAAGAACATAGTTTTTGGTTCTCATCTGCAGTACTGACAGGTGGGTTTTCTTGTGACTCGAAGAGTTAAGTATGATGAATGCCAATAGCATTATTCAAGTAAGTATTTCTGTCCTGCTGGGGTAGTCCTTGCTACAGCTCTGATACATGGTAGTCAAAGCCTTGGAAGAGGAAAAACTCAAGATTAATAAGTGACTTTGTGTCAACTGAATCATTAAAGAGCAAGATTACAAATAGTTTGCAAAGGCTGCCCAATTTTGGATCAAGTTTAGGATTTGCTGTTGCAGTCTTAGAGGTTACATCAAAAGGGAAAACAATACCTAGTAAAAACCCTTCCCCTCATACCCCTGTTGCCTCACAGGTGTTGAAAGTTATGCAGATGGTGTCCAAACACTTACCTGTTCACTGCTAATAGTTTTGGAGAGTTCAAGAACTGTGTGGTTCCTGGTATTGTATGTGATATCCCTAAATATTGCTGAAGCTGTGTCTGCTATTACAGACTGTAGATATGAAGTCACCTTGCTTCTGCTTCTATATGCAAATGTACAGATAACAGTCCTTTAGACTGGTCATCTGCTGAATTGTTGGAGAAGAATGACATTTCTGTGGGATGATAGGAGGGGCAGAAAAGAAACTGAAAAGAGCACAGGGGAGATTTGATGAGGGTGTCGCACAGTTCCATTTTCCCTCTTGCAGGGAGTCGGATTGGTTTTCAGTGTTGAAAAAAATGATGATAATTACATACCTGTGTATGTGTATACAAACTTACGTATCTTCTCCAGTTTTACATGTTTTAAATGTATTTTTGCTCTGACACAGACTTTTTTGAATAAATATTTCATTTACCCTGTCCCAAATAAATAATACTGGAAACTCTTGTTTCTCTAGGCTTGTTTCAATATAGTTTTTTGAATGCTGTACTTCATATCTACTTGCTAGGTTACTAAGAATAACCTTGTTTTTTATGTTTTTTTAATAGCAGTGGAAAGGACACAAGAAAGGAAATTGGAAGAACTCCTCTTAGGAGCAGCAAGAGAGGGGGAAACAGGGAAGCTAACTGCCTTGGTAAGAATTCAAGTGCTTTTAATACGCATATAACTCTTCCTGTGAGCGTTTGAATTTCAAAGTGTTTGGGTTTTTTAATATATTTAGTATCTTTGAGCTCTGTGTATTTGAGGCAGCTATATGTTGGCCTCTAAAACTTTTCAAAGTACTTTTCACATTTTTGACCTTCAATCAGTTTTAAGTCAAGTCTTAACAGGTGTTCCTTGGAATCCTTTGGTGAGTAGTTGGACCTGTGACCATTGAATTAGAACCTTAAAACTCCTGCTGACTTTTGAGGAGGTCCAAAGAACTTTGTTCACTTACAACTCCATGGTGTAAATTTCTCTGACTCCTACCCTAAGGTTAATACCTCTGTGGAGAGTTTGTGTAGCTCTTCAGAACTGCCCTTTTATCTTGAGAATTCCTCATACTTTGCCTACTGATTGTTCAGGCATTTCTGCTCCTATTCTGTATTTTTTTTAATTAGCAAGCAGAATATTATGCTCATGAAACTTTAGCTGCTTACATCAACTTTTATTGTGAGACCTGACACCAGAACATGTTATTTACTGCCCTGCCTTTGGAACAGAGTGCCACTTGCTTGAAAGATATCCTTTTGTTATTGATTCTCCTGTATCTGGAGTATTTTGACCAAATAAAACTATACTGTGCATTGTAGCACAGTTGTCTGGAAGAGATAATTTAATGGGTCAAATTCTATAAACGTCTAATGATCTCAGACTAATTTTTTCTTCTTTACCTGCATGCACTTTATAATTGGTTTCTATTGAAATTTTTTGAAGTCAAATGGTAGTGGTGGCTTTCCTGCTTCTCTTCTGTCAAGGTTCTCACTAGTTGACAGTGTGTTTTGCTACTAGAAGCTAGATCTTCAGTAGTTGAATCTTAACCCGGGCTTTATAGTCTACTTGAGGCAAAACCAGTGTGTTCTTCCTGTGAGTTCTCAAAAATTGTACTGTACATTTACTGAAATGACCGGAGAGCTTTTTATCTCACTGAGTTGATGCGTGAAACTTTGGTCCAAATATGGCCTCATAACATGGTATAAGCTGCTGAAATGGCAGGCATGTTCAACATCTTTGTTGGCGACATGGACAGTGAGATTGAGTGCACCCTCAGCAAGTTCGCCGACTACACCAAGCTGTGTGGGACAGTTGACACACTGGAGGGAAGGGATGTGCTATCCAGAGGGACCTTGACAGGCTAGAGAGTTGGGCCAATGCAAACCTCATGAAATTCAACAAAATGAAGTGCAAGGTCCTGCATCTGGGCCATGGCAACCCCAGACACACCTACAGATTGAGTGGGAAGTAATTGATGCCAGCAACGAGCAGAAAGACTTGAGTGACAGTGGACGAGAAACTCACAATGAGCCGTCCATGTGCGCTAGCAGCCCAGAAAGCCAATTGAATCTTGGACTGCAACAAAAGGAGTGTGGCCAGCAGGTCCAAAGAGGTGATTCTCCCCCTCTACTCTGCTTTTGTGAGACCCCACCTGAAATACTGCATGCAGTTCTGGTGCCCTCAATGTAAGAAGGACATGAAACTGCTGGAGCAAGTCCAGAGGAGGCCATGATATTGATAAGAGGACTGAAACATTCCCCCTGTGAAGACAGGCTGAGGAAGTTGGGGCTGTTCAGCCTGGAGAAGAGAAGACTCTGTGGAGACCTCATAGCAACTTTTCAGTATCTGAAAGGCCTACAAGGGAGCTGGAGAGGGGCTCTTTGTTAGGAACTGCAATGATAGGACAAGGGGTAATGGGTTCAAACTGAAGGAGGGAAAGTTTAGGTTGTATATCAGGAAAAAGTTTTCTACTATAAGGGTGGTGAGACACTGAAACAGATTGCCTGTGGAAGTGGTGCCTGCCTCAACCCTGGTAGTCTTCAAAGCCAGGTTGGATGAGGCCTTGAGCAAGCTGATCTAGTGGGTAGGTGTCCCTGCCTGTGGCAGGGGGGTGGGGCTAGATGATCTGTAAGGTCCATTCCAACCCTTAAATTCTAATTCTATGCTTAAAAGGTGTGAAGACAAGAAGTCAGGAGACAGAGATAAGGTAGATGTAAAACAGCTGGTTGGAAAGAGCTAAAACTTAGAAATCCTCAGGAATGCAAGTATTTGACCACAGTATGAATAAGGTTATACTTCCACAAGCTCCCTCTTTTTGACTTGGGTTCTCTTACCAGTTGATCTGTAAATAACAGCTGTAGCAGTTTATAGAGTTATTTCTGAAGCATGTTTAAGGTGGTTGCTGTTGATGTTAACTTCAGTTGCTGCCATGGGAATTCCATTATTACAGAGTAATTTCTTGAAGATAGCATACAGCTAATGAGAATGCTTAAACTGAGTTTCTCTAAAATTGGTGTCATGTGCTTGTGATTCTCATTTCCTAAGGCTGCTTAGCAGTAGCTTAGCCTTTCTATTAAGGCAGCCCCATTGGGCTTGTGAGCTTAACTGTAGTGCTTGGCACTGCATAAAGTGGTTTGGGTTGGAAGGGACCTCTAAAGGTCATCTAGTCCAGCCCTCATGTACACATCCAATAGCCACATATTTGGGTAGAAGGCTAGTGGTATTTTAGGGTGGTTAGTCACGCTTAATGACCCATCTCTTTGCTGGGTTAAGTTCTCAAAACATTTATATTATGTCCAAGTATATCTCAGGTTTTTTGCCTTGGTTATATAGCTGGTCTAATTTTAAGTTCCCACAATAGTTAGACCTCAGCAGGCAGCAAAATTGTTTAACAGACTGCCTATGCTAAGAGCTTCTAAACTGCCTTTGTCACTGAGACTGGCAGGTCTGCCACCCTTCAGTACAAAGTTCTTACTCTCTGAAACAGAGTGGCCACACAAAATTTTTCTGAATTTAGTACTGGCCTGTGCCACCTTTCACACTGTGCCTGGGAGCCTTCTATGGAGAACAGAGGACTTTGACAATAGAATTGGACAGAGCCATTCTGGCAATATAAATAAATAAACTGCAGTGCTGGGCAGCTTTCCTGGCAATGTGCAGTTGAGCAGGATAAGTGTTTCTGTGTTGTGCAGTAGAGGTGAAAAGTGTATAGCAAGCAAAAAAATGAAGTTCTTTTCTCTAGCTGGCTGTCTTCCATGATTGTTGTAGCCCTTGTCGTAGCACCTGCTACATGCCCTCTGTTGCCAGATCTATGCTGAAGTATCCTAGTTAGGAACAGCTAACTTTCAAAAGAAAGAACATGGCATCTGAAGAATGAGGAATACTGCTAAGTAAGCAGAACTTTGTTTTCTTCCAGTTGAACAAGCCCAAACCCCCTGATATCAACTGTACAGATCAGATGGGGAACACGCCATTGCACTGTGCCGCATACCGTGCTCATAAGCACTGTGCATTGAAACTTCTGAAAAATGGTGCAGATCCTAAAATAAGAAACAAAAATGGTGAGTACCAAATGAAAAGTACATTAAATGTTAAGTGGAGGCAGAAATTCAACAGCTTCTATAAGCTATGTTACTTGCTATGCAGTATTCAGGGAAAATCTTTAGGTGCTTTACAAACTTTGCATCACTAATAAAGGAAGCCCAAGAGTGACTAAATTGCAAGAGACTGAAGAACTGTAGAAAAATACTTACTGTACATGCTTTTATTTTCCAAACTGTAAGATTTACCAGCTGTCTTAACAATGAAATGTGCCTGGCTTTTGTTTTCTTGATGCTAAACACTGAACACAGATAAAAAAAAAATTAAAAAATAAAAAATTGAAGATGTGGCCCAGGAAAAAGTGAGTCCTCAGAAGAAAGCTTCTAATGAAACCAAATAGAGGAAAACTTTATGCAGATGTTATGCAAACTGTGTGCTTGTCCTCTGATTAAAGATGCCTCTGTCTTGGTATTTGTGAATGTTCTAAACTGCTTTATATAGCTGGAAAGCTAAAAACAAATCAGTAAGAGCAAAAGGCTCTCTGTAGTTAGGAGAACTCTGACAGACAGTTCAGTGCATTAAAGTTCAAACCTTTTTAGTCTCCTGCCCCTGAGGAGTAAATGTTGATACTTGTGGGACCAAAGTTTAATGGGTAAAGACAATGTCAAATTATTTTTGTGTTAAGTACACTAAGTTTATTTGCATCAAATTCTCATGCTTTGTCTTGGTTACTAAACAGATCAGACACCCCTTGATCTAGCTCAAGGTGCAGAAATGAAACTGATTCTGGCAGGTAAAACTGGAAAGGTAAGAACCTTTGTATAAATTCGAAATGCCAAGGCTGTCTAGTTGAAGCTGTTCCTACATGAGCTTTAATTTCTGTGCAGATTATCAACAAACCCCTGAGACGGTATGAAGGCCTCCTATGGAAGGTATGTCTTACTTTTCTAAATAGCTTATGAGATCTCAAAGTATGTCCTTTTTCTATATTTAAGTGATATTTGATGAATGAAGGAATTTTTCAATAATACATTTGCTAAATGACTTGATTTAGTCTAGTATATAGAGATGGCCTGACTGAGTGGAGCAATTAATAGATTCATGGGAGTTCTTAACCTCAGCCCCAAAATTTTAATTTCTTGGCAATTTTGCAGCAAAGCTTCAGTGTGATAAGATTTTGTTCCTTGTCTGTGTGGTGAGCAAAATTTTTTTTGTTTTTTTTCTTTCCTTAATAGATTACTTTGATAGACTATGATTAATATCTTTAGGAATCTGTGACTAATATTTTATCACAAGTTCACAGTCTTCTGTGAACTTGTGAAACTTAGGAGAAACATGTCAATCAAAGAGTTTAAAGCTTGTTTTGCTGTGCTGCTCAGGTGACTATTTTCCTTTGTTAAATAAAAGTCTACATGAATACTTAATTTTTATGTTCATTAATGAAATCTTTAAAGTTTTCTTCAGTGTAAATTTTTCTTTGTGTTCAGTCACAATTGTAACTTAAGGAGCTGTTTTTAAACTAGAGCTATGTACTAAAGCTTGTGAAAGATAAAATGTTGTAGTTGAATATCTCAATGTGTTCTGTTTCTCATTCGATTTTATAAAATAGAATTGTGTGGTGATCGGCAACTACTGTAATATTAAAAAATGAAGCATTTTAGTATTTCCGTTCTTACCAAAGTCATAGCAAAACTTCTGTCTTTAGGTGTTTCCAAACAAAGAGAGTAGCGCTGTAATTGTAAAATACTCTCAGGTTGCCGTGATCACCAGGAGATGTAGAACCTAAGAAGTTTCCCTAGTGATTGGCAGTTTTGTATGTAAAGTAAACTTCCCTGCCTGACCATTCAGGAGGCACTCTGTCAGTTACACTTGCACCATCAGACACTCTTACCCTTCGCTGCAGGTGGCTTCAGTGAGTCGACAGGTGCCTCACTTGACTCCCTAAACTCACCACATTCACACAGTTAGAAAAACTTTTCTTACTGGCTTGACCCTCGATTTCCCATAGCAGAGCCTCAGATGTCTGGATCCATAAAATAATTTAATCATAGTAGCAGCTTGAGCTGGTGTCTCTGAGGAGGGACCCCAAACAAAGAACTCCTTGGGCTTTTATACCCCTGCAGTGTAAGCATGCGAAAGTCTGAGGTCTTTCTGTTGAGTCCTTGGCTCCTGACACCACAGGTCCATGTGCCCCGTGCTAAGCAGAGTGTCTGTGCCAGTTCATGGCCTCTTGCTTCAGGCTCCCGCCACCCAGAGCTCATCTGCAGCTCACAGTGCAGCTGCACACCGAGCTACCTGCACTGTTACCTGTTAACCTTACCTGGTCTTTTTTATTTCTTTTAATTCTTCTCTTAGAGCTCGCGATTTTTTGGTTGGAAACTCTACTGGATAGTTCTAGAACATGGAGTCCTTTCCTGGTATCGCAGACAGTAAGTTCTATGTTTAAGTTTTTGAGAAGCAGTTTAAATAATTCCTGTCTTCACTTTATTATTAAATCTCTTCTTCTTTCAAAGAGCTGATGCAGTGAATAATGACCATCGTCAGGGATGCAAGCATTTAACACAAGCTGTCTGCACGGTAGGAAATAACTTGTAATTACTGGGTTGCTTTTTTATGTGATGGTGATACCTGAATAATGAAAACTTCAGCTAGATTGGTAACTTGATCTTTGTTATAAAATAAGGAAAAAGCCTGTGCTGGTGAAAGAAACACTTGTTCTTGTCCAGCAAAGTATTCGTGTATGTAAAGTGGCCATAAAGCTCCTTCACTGCTTTCTAAGATCCTGAAGATTTAGACAGACATAAGACATCCTGAAAGCATGCCTTGTCAGTTGGATAAAGCAACTGTTTGGAGCATGTGATAGAGAACAGCAAAGCTCCAGTAGCTCAAAGTTCCTGCTTAGCTGTCACTGGCTCCTTGTGACTGATTGTGTAACTTAAGCTGATCTCAGTTGAATAACTGATCAATTCTGAAAGTGCCTTTTGGAAAACTTCTCTAAATTTCATTATGCTTGTGAGAATTGATTTTGGAATGGGTGAACAGAATGAAAACTGTCCAGGTGTCATTTATAATATACAGAAAGATGAAGTGTTTAAGGAAAATGCATTTAGGATCATTTCAGTATTTCAGTAACTGACCTATCCTGATTTTGCACGACAGGTTCTGTTAAAGTGCACCTATATATACTCATGCTATATGAAAAATAGCTCTTGCTTTTCAGTATTTAGAAGTTCTTTAATGTTGGTGGTCTTGCACTATTGCTGAGATTTTTGTCTGAATCGAGTGGCGCAAATAAACACAAATATAATATTTAAGACAGAAAGAACCTCTATATTCTTATTCGTGATGTGATGGCACAATGTGCAAAACTGTTCTCACCAAGCTTTTTTTGTGAACTATAATTGTTTTGCGTCAAGACTGAGGCAAAAACTTGAAAGTTAAGAGTATTTTTCTACCTTGCTTACTGTTCAGTGTTTCATAAGTGATTTATTATACTAACTTTGTGTTTTCTCTGTGTTGCTTTAGGTAAAATCTACAGACAGTTCCTTCTTTTCTGTCAGATGTTTTGATGACACTGTTCATCGTTTCAAGATTCCTAAAAACAGCCTTCCTTCTCAAACTAGAGAGGTAATAATGACTCTTTAGCAAAGGCATTAAAATATAATAGCATCTGTAATGAATAATTTGCATACTACTTGCTATGAATGCATTGGTTGTAGTGTGTTTCATATCTTGATCATCAGGACTTGGTAACATAAGTGCAGATATTGAATCTTTTAGCATGGTTCTAGGCTAAACAGCAAAAACCAGACAGATTGTAATTCTCTCCTTTAAAATTAGTCCTACTTTTTTTCCACCTGTATCTGTATAATGCCCTGACATCTAACTTCCTGTTTTTCTGTAACACCTCAATGTGATAAGTTTCTATTGCAACCTTCTTCTGTTGGACTTTCTTTCATAGTTCATTATCCCAAAGAAAAGAATGTTTAATTGTACATTCTGCTCTTAACCATATTCCCAAATAAACTGTATTTTCTTAAAAGGTGGGTCTGAAACAAGATAATAACCTTTTTCTTTGGCCTATTTGTAGCACAGTTACTATTGTACTTCTACACTTGTAGTAACTAGAGGTGAAGTTGGGGTGGAGGCAGCTGGAGTACTGTGGCCAGTTCTGGGCTCCTCACTACAAGAGAGATGAAAACATACTACAGAGAGCCCAAGAAAGGGCCACTAAGATGATTAAAGGGACCAGAGCATCTCTTATACTAGGAAAGGTTGAAAGAGCCAGGACTGCTCAGTCTGGAGAAGAGAAGGCTCAGGGAAACTTGTCTATGTATGTAAATACCTGAAGAGAGGGTACAAAGAGGGACAGACCTAGGCTCTGTTGAGTGGTGCCTGGTGACAAGGACCAGAGGCAATGAGCATGAACTGAAGCACAGGGACTTCCCTCTGAACGTAAGTAAAAATGTGAGGTTGACCATGCACTGGCATAGGTTGCCAGTAGCTGTGGTTGTGGAATCTCCATCCTTGGAGATTTTCCAAAGCTATCCGGATGTGATCCTGGGCAACCAGCTCTAGGTGGCCCTGCTGGAGCAGAGAGGGGTTGGACCATATGGCTTTCAGAGGTCCCCACCAGCCTCAGCCACTCTGTGATTTGATGAACAGGAGAAGAATCTGCCTCTTTATTATGGTAGTGCTTGGGGTTTTGTACACAGTTCATCACACATAAGAAGGCAGACTTTGTCATAGGGACCTTGTTGGCTGAACAGAAACCCGAAGATGCAAAATGTGTTCCATACAGTCTTTTAATTAATGAGACTTTTTTTTATGTGACCTTGGATAGACTGAGGGGTGGGTTGCATTTGTGCTAAAAGTTTAATCAGTTATGTGTGTGGCACTCTGATCACAGAGTTAAAATTTGTAACAATCTATTTTCTGCTTATTAAGATGTCTGAGTTTACTAACAAATGTCTTATTCACATAAAGAAAAAATTTAGTTGGTTGTTCTGAGTGTATACTATTTCCTTTTGGGGATTATCTTTGAAATGTTTGACAACTCTGTTTTTTCCTTTCCAGAGTTGGCTGGAAGCAATAGAAGACCACTCTGCATATAGCACTCATTACTGCACACAGGAGCAGTTGAGTAGTGATGATGAAGATGACACAGTATCTGTTACAGACCTACAGGATACTCTGAAAGTATGTACTGAGTACTTACTTGGCTCATGCATCTAGGCAGTTGCAGATTAGTACTGTTTTGTGTTGAAATACTTCAGTGTACTTGTGGCTGAAAGTGATGATTGGTCCCATGGACACATAAATGCTATTTGTATTTGCACTGCTTACTGTCATGTATTCCTGTTCAGACTGTGAATAAAATGGCTTGTTTATCATAGCTACAGGGCTGTGCTTTTCAGTTTTGCCAGCACTGCTGCAACATAGAAAGCTGCTTGAGACTTTCAGCCAGGAGAGGGAGCCTTGTGTACTGTACTTGGTGACACTGAGACAGGAAGATAACAAAGCTAACCTTCAGCGAGATCGGCCTCTATGAAACAGCCAGTGACATCGCTTAGAAATGATCCTTTATTGCCTCAGATCACATTAGATGCATTGCACAGTGACTTCATACCTGAAATGGAAATTCTAGTGTTCAGCCTGTAATTCTTGCTTTTTGCTATACATATACTTCTAAAACCTTTTATTTTGATGGGAAGTTGACATTGCAATGCAAAAATCTTCATTTGGCTAAACTCCAAGTGGCTTGTACTATACCGTTTGGTACAACAACTCAAAGTAGCTCATGGCAGAACAGAGATGACAGAACCAGATAACTGATGCTGGCAGTTCCCAGCCACCTACTGAAGAAGATGGTGTTATTAAATAACATAACCATGCACTCACAGCTCAGAAGGGCAGCCATATCCTGGGCTGCATCAGTGTGACCACCAGGTCAAGGGATGTGATTTGCCCCCTCTGCTCTGCCCTTGTGAGACCCTGCCTGAGTACTGCATCCAGCTCTGGGGTCGTCAGAACAAGAAAGACATAGACCTGTTAGACCAGTTCCCGAAGAGGTAACAAAAACTACCAGAGAGCTTGAGCACCTTTCTTGTGAAGTCAAGCTGAGAATGCTGGAGAAGCAAATGCTCCAGGGAGACCTCATTGTGGCTTTCCAATTTTTAAAGGGGGCTCATGAAAAAGAGGGAGACTGACTTTTTACATGGGCAGATGGTGATAGGACACATGGGAACAGTTTTAAACTAAAAGAGGAGAGATTTAGTTTAGATGTTAGGAAGAAATTCTTTCCTGTGAGGCAGTGAGGCACTGGAACAGGTTGCCCCAAGAAGCTGTGGGTGCCCCATTCCTGATAGTGTTCAAGGCCAGGTTGGAATGGGCCTTTGAGCAAACTGGTTTGGTGAAAGGTGTCCCTACCCATGGCAGAGGGTTTGAAACTAGATGATTTCTAAGGTCCCTTCTAACCCAAACCATTCTGTGATAACTGTCTCCAGATTTGAGTGCAGCCTTGAAATATGATCTTGAGGTTGGTTCCTGCACATTGCTGTACTTGCCATACATCAGTTAACCTGTGGATTTGCTTATTTTGGCCTCAGGTTTCTCAGAGAACAAGCAATAGCTCTTCCTGGGTTTTCAAACTTTTTAATAAACAAGGGGGGGAAATGCAAAAGTGGTTCATACAACATAGCTTTGGGGGTTGATTTGCTATGCTTATTTAAACAAAAGCTGGTCAGCAGTATAATGTGTGTAAGTCTTCTGTTTGCTTGTGTATATTTAAAGGTACTTGTTCAGTTTTAATGTATCAGTCTCTGGGCTGGGAATCTTGGTTAAGATTTAATGCTCTCCAAATTCAAAAGTTTCACTATAGTTAAGAGAGCAAACATGCTTTCCTTAGATCAAGGCACTTCTGAACTAGCTATCCTTGTTGCCTTTCAGAAAGCACAAGCATGCCAACAAAGACTCAGTAAAGAGATTTCAGACTTTCTTGCAATGGTTAAATCTTTGGATGCTACAAAAGGTAAAACTTACTCTTTTAAAATGTAGTTTGTTACCAAGCAACTAATTTTTTTTCTAAGCAAAACATGCTTTAATTTCCCCAAAATTAAATTTGTAGGATCTTGAAAATACAGGACTGTTTTCCTCATTGAAAAAAATTCAAATAAAGTAACATTATAGTAATTGCTAAGAGTTAAGATTTTGGATTTGGAGAAACAACAGTGCACTGATTGAAAGTAATGTTATTAGTGGCTATAAATGCAACGAAACTGCCTTTAGCTGTAATGCTTATTGAGTAGTATGGTAAGACTATAATACAGGGGTTCACTTTCAAGGTTTGTTTGGTTTTTTTAAATCTGTAGTTGGTAGCTTAGTGCAGAGCATAGGTGTCCCCTTGCAGGTACCCAGAGCTAGTTGTCTTAGTCTCCTTCCACCTCAAAATACCTTTCTTGTGGAGAATGGAAACACAATGACAGCTGGGGCACGATAAACAGGATGTGAAATCACAAAACTACACAGAGACCTGGAGGCATGGGATGATGGGATATGTTCCACAGACTTTTGCCATGACTTTTATGCCATATTTGAACTTCTCAGGCTACATTTTAAATAATAATTCTTAAATTAACACATACCTGGATTATTGTAGCTTAACTGCTAACAAATAGCACAGGCATCAAGATGTGAGAGATTTGTACTTGTTTTATTCAGTGCTTTAAATATGTACAGAAGTTGCTCATGTATTAGACAGGGGAGTTCTGTAAGAACATCTCACTGTTGGACCTTTTAACCTGGTTGGTCCTAGTTACATATTGTGACTGAAATTTATGAAGCTCAAATTAGAGAACAGGTGTTTATCTGTACAAATCTTTAGTTTTTAGTAGAATTGTAGTTTTGAGAGGAAAAAAGTTCTTCCTCTTTCATCCCTGTGCCTTCCCAAAAGGAATATAAAATACAGCTTTTTCTCCATATGCTACTGGGGTAAGTTACTCTGTGATGTTAACCTGTCTTTTTGACTAACTGAATTTTTAACAGATTTTTATTTCACAGGAAAAGATATGTTTCATAATACATGTGAGTGTGTTATTGTTAAGCCTTTGTAATTATGTTACAGTAAAACTGAATTCTTCACAAAAAATCTGGATTTGAAAATTAGCATGAGGTGGATAAATTCCCTTTGGTAGATGTAGGGGCAGTTTCTTTGACTCTGTATTGCTGACCTGAAGAACCAGTGAGGTTCTTTTTTAAAAGAGAAAAACATTTTAAAAGGAGGAAATACACAACTTGAATAACCAAAACCCATAGCAAAGCAAAACCAGATATTATCTCATTCCTAGAAACTACTAGTCTTGGCCAATAACAGTAGTAAGTTCCTGTTTTCCTTCCAATGAATGTTTGTAATGTGATAGGTCAGTGAACTGTTTCTGGGTTCATGTGGAACCTCTGTAGGTCTTAACAGAGACAACTGCTGCCTTTCTCCCCGTTCTCACATGAGGTTGATATGGCATCTTTAGAGTCTTTGAATCCTCTGGCTCCAGAGGAATGCAGATTTCTGAGTTAAAAGTCCTTCCACATGGAGCTTCCCCTAAAAACTTTTGAGTAGTATAAAAATGGCTGTGTTGGGACCTGATATTTAAAATTCTCTCCCTGACTCTTTCAACATGCTATTCTAAATCCAGTTATCTTTCAGATTTATGCATCTTATGTGTTACAAATAAAGATGTCTCCTGTGCCTGCACTCAATGTGCTGCTCCTCCTTCTGGAGGTGTTAGCTGTTCTTGATAGCTGCCATAAGACTCAATTTCAGTTAGTAGTGAGCTTTGGTATCAAAGATAACAATTAGTGTGTGGGTATGTGCTGTATCTTGTCCTGCACAAGCAGTCTAAGTTAAAAAATAAATTTAAGAACTGTCACTGATGGACCTCTTAATCTTTATTGGTGTGACACTAACTTAAAGCACTTAAATGGTGGTAGCTGATCCTGGAGTCTGCAGTCACTGAATGTGGCAATTCTTTTAATTGCAAGAAGTATGCTGCTTGAGAGAATGGCTTGTTTGGCTTCTGAGGAGTTTCTGCACATCACACTCTTCAAGACTGACTCAAATAATTTCTACCAGCTGATTGGGTTATCATGATTTCCTGCTGGTTCTAGACATGTAGCCTGTTCTATAAATAGCCATAGAAGTCAGGATGTGAGGCATTGCTCTGCAAGTTGTACTGCTTATCCATAAGATGAGTCCATGAAAATCTTCCCCTTTTATTTTGCGGTGTGCTTGTCATTACAACCCCATCTCGGGGTTTATAGGTTTTTTCCAAACCTGAATCTCCAGCTGCACTATGGTAAGCTTTTTCTCTTCTATAAAATACCGTGACAGAATGCCAAAAAAAAGCTGGATTTCTCACTTCAGCATATATTAAAGCAGTGCAGTATCCTTTCTATTTTAATTCTGTCACCTGTCAACTCTGAAGCCTTTAAATTTAGAAAACAGTTAAGAGGAGATTGTTGCTAGTCCATTTACCAGTGTCTTGCCGCCATGGATCACTGCCTTTGCTTTCTAAGCCAACTTGATCCATTCATGTGCCACTTCTACCAGTACTGGGGAAGGGATGCAAAAGGGAGAACTTAGGTTCCCTCAGTGCTACTTCTGCTACTTCTCACACCGATCTTGCAGTGCACCAGCCTTCCTGTAGAATGTGAATGTCTTGTCTGTATTACTTTAGAAGAAAGAATAATTAAAAGAATCCTGTAGTTTACAATGTCCCTCTAATGTTACTAATGTTTTTGTGCTTTCAGGAATATCTTTTCCCATCCTGCAAAAAGTTGACGTCGTCTCTGAAGTATCTCAGGAAACGTGTGAGGCTCTGGCTGACTGCCTCAACCTGTTCACAAAGCAAGAAGGGGTATGTATCGTGCTGTGTGGGTCTGTGAAGGGTCGAATAGCTCACTATATTTGGCTAGTTCCCTGCTTACCAGTTACACAAATAAATACACAAACCCATAGAACTTCATATTGTTGGTAAGCTGTCCTTCTGCATGCTGAATGTGACAAAAACTCACGGTTCTAGAGAAAGAGTAGGTCATTCTATAAAAGGATGGCTTGGTATTTGAGTGTTCAGGAGAGACACAGATTTCCATTACAAGCTACTGCTTGCAATGTCCAAACTGAATGCTTAAATTCAGTAAAGCTGTTGCTTTGCTTATTTGAGGGTCAAAATATTGAGAAAATTAATCTTTTTTGGAATTTTTTTTACTAGCTTACTGAAATGTTGAGCAATATTGCTTCTGAATTTGTTTTTCAGACCATGTGCTTAGTGGGTGTGCGAATGCTATTTATTGAAGTTCTGGCTTTCCCAGTGACAAATATCTTGTAAGGTGTTAAACATAATGCAAACACTTCGATTTGGGAATGTATGTCAAATTCATTAGTTCCTGGAGTAGGAGAGGTGGTATTTTTGTTCCCTCTCAAAGATGTCATGGAATAAACTTGTCTTCCTGTACTGTGGTAACCATAATCCGTTGGTTAGGCTCTTGTCATCAGTAAACTGTGTTTCAAAATGAGGTTTGTGTTGTTGCTGTTGGTCTTCCAGTCATTTAAGCGAGCTGCAAACACTGGCTCTATTGTCTAGGTTTGGTTTAAGATTTTTTTCATTCCTTTCCAAGCCCTTTTGTTTCCAGTCACGAGTCTTCTAGACTTCCTTGGGTCAAGTTCTAGCAGAGTGGAACAAGCATTGCTTTTTTTTGCATTGATTTTTTTTCTTTAAGAAAGTCTAATATTAAAGTTGCCAGCTCCATTTGCAGATGAGGGGGAAATTGTTACAACAGTGGGTGTACAGTGTTAGTTAGTATTCCTTAATTGTGTTGGCATCTTGCTTCAAGCCAGACGAAAATAGCTTTCCAGAGTGGAGTGTGGCAAAACATATGGTGAAATTGTAGTTTCACCTTACTTGAACTTGTACAGTCTCAGTAGGTGTTATAGAGGCCTTGTTTTAATCTGGAAGCACATAGATTTGGGCACAGAGGGATAGGCTGAGGTGCGAACTTGATTTTTCACCATAGCTAGTGAAATCAGTCGGTCATGATAGGGAGATGATGTGATCCTGGAGAGTTTTGTGTCTTGGTATTTTTAAACTTCAGACTATTGCAATTCCAGGATGTATGGCAGGCTTTTATAGATGCCATAAGATCGTAATGGAAATTACAGCTGCATTCTCTTCCTAAGAGTTGAAGCTTTTCATGAATTTATGTTCATTGAACATTACTGTTCTTAAACCCACTGCATTTGGCTTTGCTGTCCTTTTGTAAGTCATGGCCCTGTTCTTTGCCATTTCATAGAATCATAGACTTTTAGGGGCTGGAATGGACCTTACAGATCATCTAGTCTCAACCCCCCCTGCCATGGGCAGGGACACCTCCCCACTAGAACAGGTGGCTCAAGGTTTATCTAGCCTGGCTTTGAACACTGCCCAGGGTTGGAGCATCTACTACCTCCCTGGGCAATCTGTGCCAGTGTCTCACCACTCTGAGTAAAAAACTTTTTATAATATCTATAATAATTTAGAATATAATTTTTTAAATAATATCCTAATAGCTAACCTAAACTTGCCCTCTTTCAATTTGTACCCATTATCCCTTGCCCTGTCACCTCAGCTCCTAACAAGGAGTCCCTCTCTGGCTCCCCTGTAGTCCCTTCAAATACTGGAAGGCTGCTATGAGGTCTCCATATCCTCTCCAGGCTGAACAGCCCCAACTTCCTCAGCCTGTCTTCACAGGGGAGATGCTCCAGTCCTCTTAGCAACTTCGTGGCCTCCTCTGGACTTGCGTTTGTTGATTTCTAGACTGTAGTTCTGTTGGCATTGCAAAAGCAATATATATAACCTTGCCACTGGTATTCTGCATGTTCCATGAAATCTGGTTATTTCCAGCAGGAACGTTTTCTCAGCCTTGGTACCTTTTCGTCTTGCCTCTTTAAGGAGAATTCTTTTCCTCCTCTGACTTAAGTTGTCAGCATACCAGGAGCTACTGCTTATGAGGAGAGGCTGCTAACTTCAATAAGGATAACCACAGCGAACGCCCTTTTGGCTCTGTAGAAAAAAAAACCTTTTCTGTAGTGTCACCGCCCTGTGCCAGTCGTAGCATAACTGCACAGCCTGGGAATGAAGCTCCTTAATACAGCACTAGCGGAAAAAAGGTTCACGTCCCTTCCACCCGCGCTAGAAATGGTGCATGAGACATCCCAGCGCTCCTCCGTCTGTGCGCTGCGCGGGGCGGAGCGGGCAGGGTCCCGCGGCGCCG